AATTGTTAACTATTAATATTAAACAAAGCAGGTAAACATTTTACATGTTAATTTCTCTATCACAATCATCAAACCTGAGTTAGTAGTACTGCATTCTGACGCCACACACACACTCACCACATACACTGCTGCATTGCCTAGTCACTTTACCCCCTACCTATATGTAGATAGCTACCTCAAAATATAGCCATGTTATTTTCTACTGCCTGTATATAGCCATGTTATTTTCTACTGCCTGTATATAGCCATGTTATTTTCTACTCCCTGTATATAGCCATGTTATTTTCTACTCCCTGTATATAGCCATGTTATTTTCTACTCCCTATACATAGCCATGTTATTTTTACTCTTTATTTGTATTTGTTATTCACTGTTTATTTCTTCCTTGTGTCACTATTTATATTTGTATATTATTTTATCTTATCTTTAACTCTGCTTTGTTGGAAAAGGATCCATAAGTAAGCATTTCACTGTTAGTCTACAAGTTGTCTATGAAGCATGTGACAAATAAAATTAGATTTGAGTAAGTAGCCTCTCTTTCGTAGTGTCTCGCCTCGCCTGTAAACACAGCACATAATTTATTACCTTAAGAGACTGTAAAATATGTTCCAAATAAATGATATGCATTGATAGTGTCACTAAGATTAATGTGTATTAGTTTAAAATGAAATCCGTTGTTTTCTTATAGGTACCTCACAGGGAAAAGGTTAATTTAAATAAATAGAAAGTATGTAAGTAATCTTACCGGCTAATTCGTCCGGTTCCAGCCCAGTTTCGGTGTCTATTCCGCATATCACAAAGTAGTGAGCGAAGCCGCAGGGCGCCGCTCCAGACAACGCGTTGGTCCCACTCATCTTGGTTCACAGATCAGCGTCTTCCCGTTCCTAGTTTTCCAACAGAGACATCTACATAGCGAGAATAAACCTGGTTTAAAAACGTTTCTTTAGTCTTTGTAAATGGCAGAATGACAGTGTTCCCGACGCACAATTAAAATAGTTTCCTGTTCTTCAAAGACATATTTAACTGTACTGAAATATCGAAGAGAATACTTGCTGGTTGTCGGCTCTTGGTCGCACTGACAATACAGAATCGAACAGTGTGGGAAGCGCGAGCTCGGGTGGGTGGGGTGTGTGTGCTTGCTTCCATGCCACGCTCGTCGCGTGGCAGGGCGGGACATTCAAATCTGATGCATAAATTAAGTGAATTGGGTGCATAATGTGCACTGTATGTAGTCTACATGTTAATCAATATTTTGCATGCTGCAGGCTATGTTTAATTTTCTCTGAATTTATTAAGTTAATTAAAATGTTTATGTAGACATTATCTCATGAGATAGGCCTAACATACAGCATCTAGTCTGTTATTTCCCCAATATTCCTATCCTATGCAACAGACACAATTGACTTCCTCAGGTTAATGACTGGTGAGGTGAGGTTAATGACCATGAGAGTTTAAGCACTGTGTTGGGAAGGGCCTTCCCTCCACAGCCCAGTGCCTCTCATCTGACACCTGTGCTGCTGAGATCAAAACACACACAGCTCATTTACAGCCATTCAGAGGACAGTGTGATATTATGACCCCTTGCTGAGAACCTGCCTTCCTGTCACAGAGACCGAGGAATAAGAGGGGAGAACAGGGAGGAGGATGGAGGAGAAAGGCTCCTATTACATTGGCTGACTCCATAATTCTCTCTCATGGATTGCTTGAATACTGGCTGGATATTAATCCTCCGATCCCCCAGGCAAGGTCAGTCATGTACAGAATCCTATATGCTATTAAGTAAAAAACTGGGGTTGAGGAAAGCGATAACAGAAACAAAAGCAAGCTGACCTCAAGTATGTAAGGTTAGGACTTTTCAACTCGTGATGAGATACATCAGCCCTGAATGCTGATTGGCTGACAGCCATGGTATATCACACTGAATATCAGGGGTATGACAAAACATTTATTTTTACTGCTATAATTACGTTGGTAACCAGTTTATAATAGCAATAAGGCACCTCAGTGTTTGTGGTATATGGCCAATATACCACGGCTAAGGGCTGTATCCTGGCACTCCGTGTTGCGTCATGCTTAAGAACAGCCTTTAGCCGTGGTATATTGACCATATACCACACCCCTCGTGCCTTATTGCTTAACTATACATTCTCAACAGGCCTCCACCACTCTTGTCCTTGTAGGCAGCAGTTTCTGCTTGGCTTTCTCCAATAAATATACAATAAATGTTGTGTAGAAACAGAAAACATGACTGAAGATCCCCCTCTGTTATCTGTTCTTATCCATTCACCTATGTGAGTCTCTCAAGTCTCAACAAATAGGAGAACCTAGAAGCCTTGCACAAGTGAGCGACTGAAATGATATGAACATTAACATTGTACTTTGCTTCCCTCTGGTGGTATAACTGTGTGTGTCTCAAATAATGTCTGCCTGGTGGTGGGGGTAAATAATACCACAACTCTCTTCATTGGATGCTGTGTAGTCTGAGAGGACATTTCCTGTATTGATATTAGTTCAGTGCCATAACAATACAGTAAACATCAGAGGTAAAAAACAATACAGCATCAAAACTGACAAAAACGGACAGATATTAAAAACAAAACATGGCATTTCGACCAATTTTTAAGACATAGTATAAAACCAGTGACCTGTGAAGTACAGTTGAAGTCTGAAGTTTACTTACACCTTAGCCAAATACATTTAAACTCAGTTTTTCACAATTCCTGACATTTAATCCTAGTAAAAATTCCCTGTCTTAGGTCAGTTAGGATCACCACTTTATTTTAAGAATGTGAAATGTCAGAGTAATAGTAGAGAGAATGATTTATTTCAGCTTTTATTTATTTCATCACATTCCCAGTGGGTCAGATGTTTGCATACACTCAATTAGTATTTGGTAGCATTGCCTTTAAATTGTTTAACTTGGGTCAAAAGTTTCGGGTAGCCTTCCACAAGCTTCCCACAATAAGTTGGGGGAATTTTGGCCCATTCCTCCTGACAGAGCTGGTGTCACTGAGTCAGGTTTGTAGGCCTCCTTGCTTGCACACGCTTTTTCAGTTCTGCCCTCAAATGTTCTATAGGATTGAGATCAGGGCTTTGTGATGGCCACTCCAATACCTTGACTTTGTTGTCCTTAAGCCATTTTGCCACAACTTTGGAAGTATGCTTGGTGTCATTGTCCATTTAGAAGACCCATTTGCGACCAAGCTTTAACTTCCTGACTAATGTCTTGAGATGTTGCTCAATATATCCACATAATTTTCCTTCCTCATGATGCCATCTATTTTGTGAAGTGCACCAGTCCCTCCTGCAGCAAAGCACCCCCACAGCATGATGCTGCCACCCCCCTGCTTCACGGTTGGGATGGTGTTCTTAAGCTTGCAAGCATCCCCCTTTTTCCTCCAAACAGTTCAGTTTTGTTTCATCAGACCAGAGGACATTTCTCCAAAAAGTACAATCTTTGTCCCCATGTGCAGTTGCAAACCGTAGTCTGGCTTTTTATGGCGGTTTTGGAGCAGTGGCTTCTTCCTTGCTGAGCGGCCTTTCAGGTTATGTCGATATAGGACTTGTTTTACTGTGGATATAGATACTTTTGTACCTGTTTCCTCCAGCATCTTCACAAGGTCCTTTGCTGTTGTTTTGGGATTGATTTTCACTTTTCGCACCAAAGTACGTTCATCTCTAGGAGACAGAACGTCTCCTTCCTGAGCGGTATGACGGCTGCGTGGTCCCATGGTGTTTATACTTGCGTACGATTGTTTGTACAGATGAACGTGGTACCTTCAGGCGTTTGGGAATTGCTCCCAAGGACGAACCAGACTTGTGGAGGTCTACAATTATTCTTGTGAGGTCTTGGCTGATTTCTTATGATTTTCCCATGATGACAAGCAAAGAGGCACTGAGTTTGAAGGTAGGCCTTGAAATGCATCCACAGGTACACCTCCAATTGACTCAAATGAAGTCAATTAGCCTATCAGAAGCTTCTAAAGCATGACATCATTTTCTGGAATTTTCCAAGCTGTTTAAAGGCACAGTCAACTTAGTGTATGTAAACTTCTGACCCACTGGAATTGTGATACAGTGAATTATAAGTGAAATAATCTGTCTGTAAACAATTGTTGGAAAAATTATTTGTATCATGCACAAAATAGATGTCCTAACCGACTTGCCAAAACTATAGTTTGTTAACAAGAAATTTGTGGAGTGGTTGAAAAACAAGTTTTAATGACTCCAACCTAAGTGTATGTAAACTTCCGACTTCAACTGTACATACATTCCTCAATACCCGAAACATTAGCAGTATCAGTTGAATATAACTACAAACAACATCTATGGCCACAGATAACTATAAACCCATTGCAAGGAACCACATCAAACAAAGTGACATAATGGCTTTCAAACATCATTTGATGTCGGATATCCATGATACATTTACCTACTTTACCACCAGTGTTAAAAAACACAATTGAAACATTTTTGTGTGTATTGTACAGCAGAATCTCATTAAACAATAAGTTCAGTCTGGTTTCTCCCCTTTAGCTTTGGTTCTGGCTGCAATAGAAATAGTCTATAAAAAAATACCGTAAACAAACAAAATCCAATTTCCAATACATCACTATGATTCAAACACTATGATGCCCTAACAATGTAGGCAAACAATACTATAGGAATACGGGTAACCAAACACCAATCACCCTTGGATGTCAAGAGTTACAATAACACATATACATAGTATATAAAACACACTTCTGACTGTTTCAAGCACAGCTAAAGAACCTGTTATAGAGAGAGAAATCAGACATTTATTTATTTAAAAACATGTAGAAAAGTAAACTTCATAATGTAGCCTAAATATGGCTTTATAGGCACAGTCTGTAGTGTTTCAAGTTTGAAAAAATAACAGCATATGCACAATGTCAGGTTTGAGGTAAAAGTATTGTCTTTGCTAGTTGCCATCAACTACTGTTTTGTCTGGTGTATCCTGTCAGGGCCGACTGATTGGCTTACGAATCAGTTCTGTCTCCTGACCACCGCTCGTTCCATTCGTTCATGGGAGAGCTATGGTGCCTGGCTGTTGGCTCAACTCTTCTCAATTGGCTGGAGGATGAATGGTGACCCCGAGGGGGGCTTACATTCTGAGAGGAAGCTGGATGGTTACTGTGAGTGGGCCTTGCATTCGGAGAGGAACCTAAGAGGCAAACATAAGCAAGCAGGTGAGAAATATTTACATTAGCACTGTAGGAAATAGCCGTCCCCCAGCTACTGGCATTCCAAGTGGAGATGAAGGATCAGTAAGGCGACTTTTCAGTTCAGAAGTCTATTTATTCACCGTACACAGGATCCTGGGAACACTGCCTCAGCATATACTCAGAGCATGGCTAGAACATGTTCCAACCCAGTCAAAACAAGTTGCACTTATATAGGTTTCAGTTACCTAACAAGTTGGTTATCATCGATAAGGTACAAAAAGTCACTTTCTGACATCTTCTACCATGGCCAATATGTATGGGAAGTTTTTGTACACTCTGAACAAGTACATCAATATTTTCCCCAAGCTTTCTCATTTACTTTATGGGTCATTCCATTTCACTTTTTGACTGCACCCCATTTGATTGGAACGAAACTTTCCATACATATTTGCCCATGGTAGAAGGGGTCAGAAAGTGGCTTTTTGGACCTGAATGCAAAAACATTCAAAGTTGACCCATTTTGCATATCCCATTCAGGATACGCACAAACGTGTAAACTATTTATACAAATTTATGTTTTTTTAACTTCAACATCACTTATCAAAAACGTGTAAACAATATTTTTTTTAGCATATGTTGTATCTTAAACCCTCATTTACATAATCTGAGGTGTATGTGTTGTGCCAGCCATCAGTTGAGACACAGCATAATCTTGCCAATATTTCTTTGTAAGCTTTTAAATGATATCAAACTCAACCGTTAATCTTTTCCAGTGATGAAGATATGGATGTATGGTAGGGTATGCAAAATGGGTCAACTTTGGGCACCTCTATCTCCTGAATGTTTTGGCATTCTGGTCCAAAAAGTCACTTTCTGACATCTTCTACCATGGGCAAATATGTATGGGAAGTTTTGTTCAAATCAAAAGGGGTGCGGTCAAAAAGTGATTGAAATCAAATGGAATGACCCTCATCAATTACATATGGTAATGAATTGAGTCACATCCTGTGTGAGTTGGGAAAAACACCTGTCTGCCCACCCCTATTCTGTGTCATCCCTCTCACTTTGACTCCCAACTTTACTTAGGTCATATTGACCCAGGCTCAAAGGCCTGTGTACAATAGCATGATACATTTGCATTCACTACTCAGCTCCTATAAATAACATAATAACCTGATATGATGTGACACAATATTCATTAATGTGTGTAAACTCCTAAGCTGAATGAGTGACAATTAACAGGGACACACCATGTGTTAGTGGTATCACAAGTGAGGAAAAGAAGGTCAGTGTGCCAAGATAGATTGGGGGCCACTGGTGCTAATCTTAGGATGGGTACGTGATGGAATGGCCTGGCTAGAGTGCCACATGACACCAAGGAGAGGAATGATATGTAGGAAGTGAGTGGCAGTTGAGTAATAGTTAGCAACTGGGTATGACAAAAGTAGGTTGGAAGGGCATTATATACAGTGAGGGAAAAAAGTATTTGATCCCCTGCTGATTTTGTACGTTTGCCCACTGACAAAGAAATTATCAGTCTATAATTTTAATGGTAGGTTTATTTGAACAGTGAGAGACAGAATAACAACAAAAAAATCCAGAAAAACACATGTCAAAAATGTTATAAATTGATTTGCATTTTAATGAGGGATATAAGTATTTGACCCCCTCTCAATCAGAAAGATTTCTGGCTCCCAGGTGTCTTTTATACAGGTAACGAGCTGAGATTAAGAGCACACTCTTAAAGGGAGTGCTCCTAATCTCAGCTTGTTACCTGTATAAAAGACACCTGTCCACAGAAGCAATCAATCAATCAGATTCCAAACTCTCCACCATGGCCAAGACCAAAGAGCTCTCTAAGGATGTCAGGGACAAGATTGTAGACCTACACAAGGCTGGAATGGGCTACAAGACCATCGCCAAGCAGCTTGGTGAGAAGGTGACAACAGTTGGTGCGATTATTCGCAAATGGAAGAATCTCCCTCGGCCTGGGGCTCCATGCAAGATCTCACCTTGTGGAGTTGCAATGATCATGAAAACGGTGAGGAATCGGCCCAGAACTACACGGGAGGATCTTGTCAATGATCTCAAGGCAGCTGGGACCATAGTCACCAAGAAAACAATTGGTAACACACTACGCCGTGAAGGACTGAAATCCTGCAGGGCCCGCAAGGTCCCCCTGCTCAAGAAAGCACATATACATGCCCGTCTGAAGTTTGCCGATGAATATCTGAATGATTCAGAGGAGAACTGGGTGAAAGTGTTGTGGTCAGATGAGACCAAAATGGAGCTCTTTGGCATCAACTCAACTCGCTGTGTTTGGTGGAGGAGGAATGCTGCCTATGACCCCAAGAACACCATCCCCACCGTCAAACATGGAGGTGGAAACATTATGCTTTGGGGGTGTTTTTCTGCTAAGGGGACAGGACAACTTCACCGCATCAAAGGGACGATGGATGGGGCCATGTACTGTCAAATCTTGTGTGAGAACCTCCTTCCCTCAGCCAGGGCATTGAAAATGGGTCGTGGGTGGGTATTCCAGCGTGACAATGACCCAAAACACACAGCCAAGGCAACAAAGGAGTGGCTCAAGAAGAAGCACATTAAGGTCCTGGAGTGGCCTAGCCAGTCTCCAGACCTTAATCCCATAGAAAATCTGTGGAGGGAGCTGAAGGTTCGAGTTGCCAAACGTCAGCCTCGAAACCTTAATGACTTGGAGAAGATCTGCAAAGAGGAGTGGGACAAAATCCCTCCTTAGATGTGTGCAAACCTGGTGGCCAACTACAATAAATGTTTTTGCAACCAAGTACTAAGTCATGTTTTGCAGAGGGGTCAAATACTTATTTCCCTCATTAAAATGCAAATCAATTTATAACATCTTTGACATGCGTTTTTCTGGATTTTGTTGTTGTTATTCTGTCTCTCACGGTTCAAATAAACCTACCATTAAAATTATAGACTGATAATTTCTTTGTCAGTGGGCAAACGTACAAAATCAGCAAGGGATCAAATACCTTTTTCCCTCACTGTAAGTTGAAAGATGTGGTAAGGAAGTCAGTCATATGATGAGGCAAAGTACGTTCGTCTTATTATATGATCCAGTACTGAAATAAATGTAAATCAAACTTCCAGCTGAGTGTCGACTGCTCTCTTGCATCCTGAACTTCTCAATACCAGAAACTCATCATAACATAACCTTTCATCCAGATCAGGGATTACCAAAGTCCGTCCAAGGGCTCTCGCTGGGTGCACGTTTTGTTTTTGGCTTGAGTACTACACAGCTGATTCAAATAACCAACTCATCAACAAGCTTTGGTTATTTGAATCAGCTGTGTAGTGCAAGGGCAAAAACCAAAACGTGCACCCGGGGGGCCCAGTCCTGACTTTGGGAGACCCTGATCTAGTTGTTTCCAATCAGAACCCAACATTAAACTGTCTACGTCTGACATTTTTCTAAAAGGAAAAATACATATACAACTTTGTTTGAAATACTGGGAAATCATTGGCGCAATTGTAAAAGTAGCCTACCATGTGAGGCTAGCATAGCCTGCAACTTACCTTCAATTTCATTTGGCCTCTTTGTCTGCTTCTCTGACCACTTGTAACCAACTCCATTTTTTTTTGCTGTAACCAGAAGAACTTGTCAATGACTGGAAATCCAATAAAATGTAACTAAATATTGACCTGTAGGGTGTTATACTGTGTGTTCGTTTTTCATGCCAATGCTAGCTATACATATACACAAAAACTGAGGGAATACATACCATATTTGTTTGCCAGTGGCTTGTGATCGGTGTCCTTACCCGAGTGTCTGGAGTCTTTTGGAGGTTCACGATGGAGAGACTTCATCCAATGGTTTGCCTGAACAATGCTCTTCTTCATCAAAATGGCAGTGGGCTCCTGCATTTCACGCTTCCTTTTGAAGCTCTTTTCACATGCACCGCTTGGTCCAGGCTTCAGCTCCCCTATATCTTGCCGCTTCTCTTCCCTAACAGGGGGCTGTTCCTTCGTGTTCTGGCAGTTCACAGGAGCATCTTCCTCATCCTCGTCAGAACGCTGTGCATCTTCAGGATCCATGTAAGACCTGTTGAACATGACGTAATTTTCAGATTCACGGGGCATGAAGTAGTGCACCGTCCTTGGATTCAAAGCGAAGCTGATGTTCTGCTTGGGTTTTGGCGGAGCATCGACACGTTTTAGAATGGGTCGGATGATCCTGGTCTCCAAGCTGGACCTGGGACTGGCCTGTGGACGTTCCACTTCCTCTGGAGGACACCCTGATCGTCTGCGAGTCCGGGGGGTTGGAGTCGGGACAAAGCTGCTCTCCCAATCAGAGAACACCTGCTGCCTCGCAGAGACTTTTTCCCCAAAATGTCCATTGCCATATGGCGGCGATACCCTAGCCGGATTAGGGCAAGCATGACTACCTGGGCTATTACCATTGGAACTGGCAGGCTTGATAAAAGGTTTCGGCTTGTGTGCCACTCTTGCAGGTTTGTTCAGCGTTTGTGATTCAGGTGAAGCACTGGGAGATGTCTCTTCTCTGTTCTCTCCCTCATTCCCATCCTTTGAAACCTCTGGAGTCCTCGGAAGCTTGGGAATCCTTGGCAGCTTTGGCTTGGGGGGCGGCGAGTCGTTCTCACACTCGTTTTTTGAAAACCATCCTTTCTCATTCCTATTCAACTCCTTCGGAATCTTTGTCAACGTCTGTTGGGATGTCAAGTCGCTCTCTGCCTTACGTTTTAGTTTCATGGACGAGTCAGCATTCTTAGAAACCTTTACCCCTAAACCCCCAGGGTCTCCTCTATCCTCCACCCTCTTCCGGCTTGGTGGAGAACCTTTCCTGACAAGATGTTTGGAAAAGGACAGCTTTTCCAATCTGACTTCCAGGCGTTGCATTTTTTGCTTGTGTTTGACGCCATTCCTCTGCCTCTCTTTGACAACAGGAGACACTGACTTTGCAGGGGAGCGGTGCCTGCTAGTTTTGTTCTGGGATTTATTCTTTGGATGTTCCTTTGTCATTTTGGGGACTTCCTCAGTATGTTTGGATGGTGAGCCATTTGTGGAAGGCTTTTTGGGGACATTTATGGAGAGTTTGAGAGGAACGGTGGTAGTTGATGATTGCTGCACATGGAGGGTTTTCACCCCAGGGCACAGCGGTGCGTTTCCACTGC